CACGCACAACGTAAAATTGTGTGACGTCTGGGAAGCCGCTAGAGATGTTGAGCCCCATAAAAACGTATCATATTAGGCCTCCAATTTTATTGGGCTCTTTGTGATGGGGGCCCTTGGAATCATCCTGACTCCACCCCCCTTTACAGTATTTCTGGGTGGAGGATATTTATAGTTTAATAAATTCATATTAGAAGTACTGGCTGGGAGATATATAAATGACTGTTTTTAAATGAGCACATTCAACATGTATAGTCTAGAACAGGGGTAGGCAGCCCTGATCCTGGAGTGCCGGTCCCGGCCAGGTTTCCTGTCCTACCTGGTCTCTGATGAATCACTCCTGATCTCAGGCAGATAGTAACTCATCAGGTAGGATAGAAAACCTGGTAGAAACTGCCACCCCAGGATCCTAACCCTGGTCTAAAAGAACTCTCAAAAATCCTGTTTGCTTTATTTCATATTGAATGAAAAAGACTTGATCTCTTTTATTATATTTTACCTACACATTTAGTTGGTTAAAACTGGTGTTAAAGTAGATAGATCATGTTTGTAGGAGGCCCAGTTGTAACACAATAGACGCAAATTGGGCGAGTTTAAACCAGCAGGACACGCTTGATGGAAGCCAACTGAACCACTGATTTTGTCTCCATTAAAACCCACAACAGTCCTCACAATGGACTAGACTCTCTCTAAATGCATGTAGCTCCTCCCAGAAAACACGGATGGGAATAGACCATCTTTATTGTCATTGTAAGCAAATTGTTTCTTGATCCAAAAAAACCCCCAATGCATTTGTATCATATATCTTCCCATATAATTAGGATTTTAACTGTATTTTATGCCATATTTATGTCTTACATTGTGAATACCATGTTTGGATTGATTGATTGGCCATTGATTCTTGATATAATCTTTGTTTGAACAGCACCTATCTTACATGAAATTAAGCTCAAATTGCTTTACATACAGCATAAAAGTCATGAAACACGGAAAAGAAGAACAGGCAAACATAATAAGCAATTAAAGACACAGCTAACATACTGCAAATAGGTAATGTATAATTATTATATAATAAAGGACAAAACAATCATACAAGATAAAAGTAATAAAAGGTGAAATAAAAAACTAAAAGGGATAAACAGTTACCATTAAATAAAAGTACAATAGAACATAAAAGGAATAAAATATATAAATGCAGCAAGAAAAACTAAAAAAAACAGGACAGCTAAAAGAAATTAAAAGAATACAATGCAGACTTAGTTCCAATCCTAAAATGGGTCTATCTGAAGGGGTCCTGGAATTTAATGACTTCATCTGAAATATTATGTTATGCAAATGCATGAAACAGTTTGTAAGAAACCATTAGCTTGGCAATTAAATGCATTATATTAACTCAGTTCCACCTACCCGTAATGTGCCAGACTGACTTGTGGGATTCACTCTTATCTTGCAGGAGCACAGAAGCCACTGAAAACATCCTGCAAATGATCTCCTCCCATTTGGCCCGGAATATAAATGCTTTCATTCTATGCAGTGCAGACATCAGCACAATGAGAAATCAGTGATGTATTACATAATCCCATTTAGCTGGGCTTTAGTTTAGAAGAAAGTTTAAGAAATATTTTTTTAACTAATCCCTTAATGCTATTAAGACAATCCTACTGGAAAGATTCTCTATACATTACTCATGAATAGATACTATTATAACTATTGCTCTTAGCCTGTAATGCCCCTTAATAGGGGTAAAGCAGGAGTGAACACGTGAGAAAACATGAATCCACTTGGAGTCCAGTCCAGCATAGATGAGAGGGTAATTCAACGCATGTCCACCCCAAGATTAAGGTACATTCTAGAAACACCCACCTATATGGCTACAAGTTCACCCCTTCTGCCACAAAGTGCTCGTCTCCTCTACAGAGAGAATGAGGGGCAGTCAACTGTTACATTTAAGACCCCCAAAGATGAAGAGCAGCTTTCGTGATGCTTAAATCATGGCTATAGAGCAGTATTTCTCAACCTGGACCTTGGGGACCTCCAGACAGCGGCAAGTAGGACTGTCTAGCAGGGAGCTGGGAGGCAGAAAAAATGTGGACCGACTGGAGGTGCCCAAAGTCGGGGTTGAACAACGCTGCTAGAGAGCAGATCAGGTCCTTCTGACAGCCACAGACAAAGGGGAGCTGACTGCTGGGAAAATCGGGATTAGCATCCACAGAAAATCTGCCTGCTATTGTGAATTCCTCAAGCCGATCACTAGAAAATATTTGTCAGGCCTCTCCGCTCCGTTCATGAAAATAGCTACATTTACTATTGGAGTATCCTCCATTACAGAAGATCCATTTACTCGTACATATCTGGGCTGTTGCTCGCTATATTTATCTGTTACAAGCATCTGCAAAGGTAAATGTGAAATTAAAATCAAGGCTGGATAAGTTAGTCTTTCTGTACACATTTCCAAGAACACAAGTTATGCCAACACAACAATAATCTTAACTTAATTTTAACTTAATCAGTGTATTTCTCTTCTTTATAGGTTTTCTGGTAGTATGGTTGACCCAGTGAAACATTACTTTTGCGGCATTTATTGGGGACTGAGAATTGCTTAAGGCTAAGCTGAAGATTTTAAAAGCTATATTGTGAGCCAGTCAATGTTTAGTATTGCAAGGAGAAAGAGGCAGCCACGTAATTTACTCGCAAATGAGGTGCTAGCCTGAGTTCCTGGGGCCTTCAGCACTGAGGTCGCAGAAGGCCTCCACCAGGCCGAAGCGGAGGAGCTTCTACAGCGGGCACCACTCACACCTGCAACCAATCAGCAGGACCCTGCTGCTGACCATGGACTCACACCTTGGTGGTGTGAGCTGGGGTCCCGGTTCAACACCTCCCAACAAGTCCGCCTTGCTCGCCGTCATGCTGTACGCAAGATTTTCCCTTCCCTGGTTCCCGCTGCATTCCGGCAAAAAAATCTCATTCTGTCACTTTAAAGTTCAGGTCCCTGGCAGGCTAGCTAAATTCTCCCAAAACTATGTTAATATTAGTCTAAATTGGGTATGGGGCACAAGAATCTGCTATGCCAGGCTTCTCACAGGAAAGTATGAGAAATAACTTACTACAACCCCAGAAAAAAAAATTCCTCCCAGGTTCCATACAATAAATTTTACGTAAAATACCCTTTAAGAAAATGAAGAAGAATTTAAGACAAAGGCTTAAGCAAAAGATAAGCCAGACTTCTTTCAAAATTGCATTATTTAATGACCGAGTATGTAGTTTTACGCAAAATGTATTGCATCGCCTACGGTTTTACTGAATTATTCATTCGTTGATATTCATATTTTTTGTATTTTTGTGAGCCACTACATGGATCGTCCATCCTTCACTATGTCCCTCCTTAACATGGCCACCTCACTTTGTGCCAGGTGTAGTGGCGGCCAGTACTAACTTAGGCTGATCTTGTGTTGGGTCTAGTTCAAGACCCAGCACTTCCTCCCACAATTGGAATGAAAATATCCAATCCCCTTTCTATGATTTGCTTCCTCTGTTAAAATGACATGAACTATACTTCCTGGATATGGCATCCTGCCAGCTGTCACAAAAATTAGTGTCTTTCTAACGAACGTTATGGACTAGAGGTTCTTCTAGGGCCCTAGGCAGAAAAACTCCATGGAGCTCGCCGACTCACCCTCCCCAGACATGATGAATTGTGTTAACACGAAGTCTAGATTAATATCAACAAAGAGAATTTAATAAATGTAAATCCTTTTTATTTTATTTTATTTTTACTTTCGTGAAAAAGAATACACAAATAAAGCAGATTTGTCATTGCAATGTCTTTGCCTATCTGTGGGGAGGGGGGTTAAGATGATTCCAATGGCCCTTGACAGGAACAAAACTGGAAATTGAATTGGTCTGAGTTGGGGACCCCCATATGATATGCTTTCTTGGGGCCCGAACTGTGTCCCTGCCTGTCCTGTAGCTATGTCTCTGCTATAGACAGTTGGGCTCGTTAAGGGTCCCAGGAAACAGGTTATTACAATATGGAACACCATGAAACTAGTCAGGTAAAGTATGTAAATCGACCCACCTCCTCCCAACTTTTGGTTCCCACAAATATGACTTTTTGTCCATTCTGAGGAGAACACTAGATGGGGCTATGGGTAACCAAATGAGCCTCCCAAAACTGAAAATAAATGGTGTGCAATGGCTCTGCTAATACATTATTTTCTAATCATGTCATAATTATGTCACTTCATGTTGTTACATCAGCTCTAAGCCTAAAATGGCTGTATATGTTCACCATGTGTAATTCCCACATGTACATTTGACATGCGAGGAAAACTCAGTTGATACCCATCTATATCTGCATTGTTTTATTAAAACGTTAGAGGGCACTGTTTCCTTTCTTATGAAAAAAGAATCTTTTAATTATACACAGTCCAATGTCATTTATCTCCCATCTTTCACTGCAGACACAGCAACTAAGGGATAGTCCATATGGTAAATCGAGATGAAATGGTAATGCTCAACTCAAGTCTTTTTAAGTGATTTTTAGACCACTAGATAAGGAAAAGCAATTGCTGCATGTTTTTTCATTGATAATGTACTCACATAGACATAATTCACATGTAATACTGATACATATTTATAATTATATATAAAATAAAGAGACTAGTTAAGCTCACTCTTAATTATCATTATTATTATCATTATTATTGCAAATTATTAATGAGATCTTTCTGATAAAAATCCACTATTAAAAAGAAACTACTGGCCATTTCTTCCAATAAAATACAGTCATCAAAGTCTGCTTTGACACTACAATACATCGTATGAAGTAGGACTTTATGGAACAGGACTACTGATTTTTTTCCTCGAGTGCTTAATATTCAGTCTTGAGGCACCTTTAAAAACAAATCATTTATTTTTATTTATTGAAGATACAATTTGTGCATTGGATTCATTTACATATAAGAAGATTATCTAAATCCTTAAATGGTTTTGAATTAGCCTTGAATACAGTTGTAAATTAAATTAACTACTTATTTCTACCAGTGCTTTGTCTCCTGCACTAAGTTGCTGTAACTGTACCATTAAGACAAATTACTTTTGTGGGGGGGGCATTTGCATGACCTGAGTGGGACTTAACCCAGTATGACGGGCTTTCTGGAGGCGAATTAAAGCACTGACCATTAAAACCCACACTATACATGACAATAGGCTGGTCTACCTGCATGTGTATTTAGCTACAGTACATGCTGGCTGATTTCTGACCCCTCCCTCAACAAAAGAGGAACAGAAAACCACTTCAGGTAAACTAAGACCAGAGATTCTGTCAATTTACTATAAAATTGTTAGCTTATCTACAAACATGCTGAAACAATTGAAGCATACATATTATACAGAGACATTTTCAAATAAAAAGGAATACATCTGTATATACACAAGCGTTCAAACCAGGGGTCTTCAACTCCTGGAGAGTCCCAACCCTGCACATTTTTGGGTTTCCCCTCATTTAACACACCTGCTTCAATTCAAGAAATGGGTGGCAATTAGCAGAGAAGTTGAATCAGGTGGTGGAACAGTCAGAGAACGTACCTGTACAGAGTGTGTTCTCTGCAGGACGGAAGTTAGAGACCCCTGGTTTAGACTGTACAAAAATAGTGGGATTCTGGGGCCAACAGCGACTAGCTGGATATCAGAGGAGATGGTTTGTGAATGTGCATCTCTGATATTGAGTCTGTGGGGAATATTAGTGTCCTGCCTGGTCATGGAGATTGGAGAAGGCTCTCTTCACCATCAGGAACTGAGATTCCCTGTGAGATCGCTTCAGCTTCGCCCGCCGGTTCTGAAACCAGATCTGAGAAAGGAGGCAGAAACATCCTTTAAGGTTCAATGAACCACAAAGAATTTAAATATACCGTATATCCTCTTGAAATTATGAAACACAACATATTCCATTCTAGGGGTTATGCATGTGCCTTAAGTGTTATATGAATATCCAGTACAATAATGGAACTCTGACTAATGCTGCTAATCCAAAGAAGAGAGATTTAGCCATTTACCTGGATCCTGTCCTCCTCCAGTTCCAGTCTCTTGGCCAGCTCCTCTCTCAAATCTATGCCAGGGTAGGAATTGATTTGAAATATGCTTTCCAGGATCTCAATCTGGGGAGAAACACAAAGTTACCCTCACTTGCCAATAAGCCTCAGGTTGTATTTCAGTCAAAGAAGCAAAACCTACAGAACATCTGTAAGTTTTCACCTGTGCACCGGTAAATGCGGTTCGGGGCCTGCGACCGATATACCAGTTCAAGGTTCTCTTGTACGAATCTGAAGCCGGTCGGTCGCATGAATCCTGTTTGCATTTCGTCTCCTGTGTAAATTGCGATTCGGATCCGACCAAATTGCTGCATGCATCTGAAAAGCACAATATCCATATTATAAGCACCAAAGACCGTGCCATTTAAAAAAGCACTTAAGTAATTCTCTCGCTTCTTTTTCATTAATTTACTAGTACGCACTGATACACAGCAAACGTTTTAAAACCCGTTGACGTTGTAATGAAAAGAGAGGATATGAGTAAGACGTTTCTGCCTACCTATCCATGGTCTATGCGGCTTTACAGGTACAGTACTTTGCTCCTTTCCGTCTAATCCCAAGATTCGTTCAATAGTAAACACAGTCTTTCTCTCCACCGGCCGAACAGCAGTGGAAGACATGCCGTTCAATATATGGACCACAAACGCTTAACTTAACCAGGTATAAAATAAGACGAGTACTCTACAGCCGCTCCCAGCTGTAATAAAATAGGCTTTCACAGCATCTTGTTCTTAAAACCAACAGGATTTTCTACGTCATTAATTAGAATATCGTAGTTGCGAAGTTTTAGCATGTGAATGGAGACCCCCCAGTATGGACCTCGGCGAGTAATTGTTGTAGGTAATTTACTCGTCCAGAATGGATGCCATAAACAAGTAAGTGTTATCTTTTCAGGACAGGGAAGCAATAAACCTCGTATTAGAGCAAACAAAAGTCTAGCGGCATCTTTTTCTTTCAGAAGAGCCTTAATACTCCCATTTGCCCGTTTGCTGCAGAATGGCATTCTTTCATCGTTTATTCTATAGGTATAATAGAAAACCAGTCGAGTATCACATAATCCCGTAAATTTTGGAACCAGAGAATTTCAAAATAATAACAATATTAATCCCTTAATGCTATTAAGAAAATCTCACTGAAAGGAAATTTCTTCCAAGATAATTTTCTATTTTTCATAAGTCAGGCATTGACAGCTAGTAGTGGCATTAACCGGTTTAAAAAGTATTTCAGAATTTATTTGGCTACTTACTGGTTAGACTAGTAGGCTATGTGTTTGAAACTTGCATGAGGTGTGTGATTTTTTCTCTCTCAATCCACTACTGTGAAACTGTCAATTTGTTTAGCGAACTGATTCTCATTAACACGTACACATCAGTTATGTGTAATAAAGTACGTAGTTTCGTAAGCACTGAACCTTATCGTATACGTGCAGTGAAGTAATTAACTGATATTTCAATCTTGGAAAAATTCATTCTTAGCTTAACTAAAGCCATGAAGCCAAAACGGAATTTGGTAAGTTAAATAAAGTTTATGAAGTTACTTTAAAAACACATCATTAACCGAAATCCTTTAATCCCTATTCAGTTAAATAGTCAGATGATTATCTTCAATTGTGCTAATAGTTTAAGATAATTATAGGCTGTTGGTAAGCGAACTAATTGTTACTGATGGTTAATGTTAATGTTTAACAGGTTGGGTTCTTTATAGGGTGAGTATTGTGAAAATGGAACACCTGGCAAAATGGGACAGTTAAACTTTGCAGTTAAAATATGTGTTTAGTGATATTTTATTTTCTCTTCTATACAGTGTTCTCCGGGAAAAGAGCCGTGGCGGGATATGCTTCCTCATCAACAACGCATAGCGTAACCTTACGTCACCTCCGCTGCTACCCACACATATACTTCTGCCACTGTCTCTATTTATTCCTGGGATTCTGGCCTTATTTATCTATTTGTTTACTTATTTATATTCACTTCATTACATTCACTTGTCGTCTTGTTGTCTAGCCGTCTTGTTGTCTATGTTCACTTTCTGCAGGAGCACGTGCAAGTAAGCATTTCATTGTACATGGTACTCATACTTGTAAATATGACAATAAAAAAAGAAAAGAAGAATTCAGTTGTTGAAGGGGCATTAATGTATTTAGAATGGTATCAAGTTGGGAATGAAGACATTAAGATGATTTTTCCAGAAAGCAAATTTTCAGAAAGTGTCCCATTTTAACAAAACTCATCCTATGTTATTATTATGGTTTAAGTCGTGGTACTGTGATTTTCTGTTATTAAACTACGGTCTGAGTAAAACCCAGACTATGAGTTGAACAGCCTTTTTATGTAATTGTTTAAGTGAACCTCATGACATCGGATAGAACATTTTGTATGAATGTTTTTTACATTTTAAGTCATAGCTAGCATAAGACATCAACAGATGACCTTATTTATTTGGTGGGTCATGATGATATTGAACTATTTCGTCTATGCTGTGAATGTTCTATAGCCAGCTAGCTTTGGGTGGTCTTTCAGGCCTTCAAACGGACAGCGAGCTCTAGTCTTGAACATGAAGTGAGTTAAAATATTTTATGAAATGTAGAGCATGGAGTAAGTAATGCTTTTCTGATGCATACAACAACTAGACATAGCGATTTTATTCTCTAGAATTTAATTTAATGCTCCATAGGACAAAGTCAAATAGGAGCAACGCTGGGAAGATGCAAGATTGAAAACCTGAATTCCTGGACCAGATAATTATTGGTAGGCCTATTTTATTTTCAAAATGGCAAGTTAAAAAGAGGGTGGCTGACATTTGAAAGACAGCAGATAAGTAAACAAATCCACATGGTGACTGTATGGGTGTAAATTATGGGGGAGATGGGGGGTTCTAACCCCCCTGATAATCAAAACCAGCAAATATAACCCCCTGGACCCCCTTAAAAGGGTGGAGATCCCCCCAAATGCTCAACCCAAAGTTATGCCCTTGGGTGACTGTTAATTGCAATTTTCAGAACAGATTATTGCTGAATGGGCTTTCACTCATAAGGACAGAATGATTGCAATCAAATGGCCATTCC